AAGCCCAGTCGTATCTTGTGTGGCGTGGCAAGGGAATTGAGGTCGAAAAGCGAAACAAACGCAGAACCCCCTCCCCCCACCCCTCCCCGAAAAATAAGCGAGCAGGGAAGCAGGTAAGAGCTGGCAGTTTTCCACGTTCTGGTTCTAAAAATAGAAAGAAACACAACATGCGTCATACAGCACACACTAAATAATGTGGTGCAACCTCTTTTTTTGCTCGGTTTATATACACGTAGTGTGTACGGTAAACCCAAACTAAACACAGATGTGGTCTAGTGGTGGACGGGTGGTTGGCGAGTGCTCTGGTGTGGTCTGCTCCTTCTTTCTTTTCAAACATCTATCGTCCTTAACTCCCCTCCTTTTTTGTGTGTTTTGTTACTCTCATGTAACTCCTCTAATCTTTGGCACCGATACGTATATCACCTTATTGTGTTGCCAATGCCGTAAAACTCTTACTTAAACTGAAAAAAGCAGTGTAGTGGTGAGGGAATACGCCTGCCAGTTATTAAAATATTAATCTTTAAAAAATAGCTTTCCAAGAAGATGGAAATAGGTTAAAACAAAAATTTACTTCATGTCATAAATTACCACTTCCAAAGGCAATTTCTGAACATGAATAAGTTTTTGTTGTAGCAAGAGACTGACGGCATTTGCGACACAAGAAGGTCATAATATAAGAACGGACCCGAAGATTGGAGTGTGTTACAAGTTACAAGAGAGTAACAAGAACCAAAAAAGAATGAGGGGAGATGAGGACAATAGTTGTTTGACTGGAAAGAAGGAGCAAACCACACCAGAGCACCCGCCAACCACCCACACATGAATTAAGAGGTTCTGAACGTTTTTCATAGCTTTTTTAAAGATACAGAAGTGGCGCAACTTCTCTAGAATTAGAATGATTTTTTAAAATACCTCAAAATCAAAACAACTGTGAATCGAACAAAAATAGGATGAAGTTCCGGGTATCTTTCCTCTCGTGTACAGCATCTTATTTAACGGGAGGAGCTACCCTTGAGGACCATTTTCTATGTTTGTTGCCCGAGATCAAATCTAAGTACACATATAAGTTAGACACAGTTAAATCTCTTGATACGCAATTTTATTTTGGCATAGCTACAACGGTTGCTATGGAAACGACCGACATCTTGAAAATAAACAATGAATTTAAAATCCCCAAGGCTTTCTTATTTACATAGCAAATTTGACCAAATTTGGTGAGAGTATACCTGAACCAAACCATATCAGAGTAACAGCTGGGAATCGAACTCACATTTTTTGTTTGTGTGGGTTGTTTTTTTTTTAACAAGAGGGACGCCTTATCATTAGACCAGATACTGTCCACTTCAGATTTGACAATGACAATGACAATGACAATCTTTGTTCATCTCGCAGGGAAAAATTTGTCTTGGTCGTTAACAATGGCAGTAGACGTAACAAAAGTTAGACTTAAAGGTGCACTCACGCAAACGCGAAACAAGACAGGACATTAGGCCAAGTAAATACATGTCTCACGGGCTGGGACAACTCGCTCCGTAAAACATTCATTCGCTTCCCCCCTCTCTCTCTCTCTCTCTCTCTCTCTCTCTCTCTCTCTCTCTCTCTCTCTCTCTCTCTCTCTCTCTCTCTCTCTCTCTCTCTCTCTCTCTCTCTCTCTCTCCCTCTCTCTCTCTCTCTCTCTCTCTCTCTCTCTCTCTCTCTCTCTCTCTCTCTCTGTTTCATATGTAGCACTGTGTGTTCTGTAACCTCACTGCAGTTGGTACGAATGAATTTGTATATCTGTCTGTTCTTGCTTTTTTGGAAATGTATCGTTTACTGCGGGTTGATAGTTGAAATTCCGATGTCAGTGGGTGGCTATGGTCACCAAGCATTATTTCCGCCTTTTTTTAGAACGTTTGTCTCGTGCAGATATTCAAAGTTACTTAGGTCTCTACCAATTGTTCTTGATGCCTTTTTTATCAACTTGTTTATTTTCATAATGTGCTGCCTTCCCAGATTGCTACCATAGCAAGTGATACCAAAATCTATCAAAGTTTCTATTGTAGTGGTGTAGAAAATCTGAAGGATAGATGGATTCAGATTGAAAGACCCTAGTTTCCTCAGAAAGTACAGCCTCTGATTTACCTTTTTAACGATATTGTTTCCATCCACAACAGACTTTGATCCCACAAAAACAGACAATTCATTCCTCTTGCTTAGAATTTCCCTTGACAAAATTCTGTCGCGGCAACTCCTAAATTAATTCTGACAATTCTAGACGAAAATCAATTTCAGCGTACT